AATACATAATCCAATACTTGTTGCTCCCATACCAGAGATTCAAACACTCTTTAGCCTGTACACTCACCTATTACCACTACAGCCTCCTGTGCCTCTTCTGACAGCCTGGCTGTGCAGACTTTTCAGCAGTGTCTGGTGTTTCTGTACAGAATCTCCAGTGCCAGTGGGTGCAGGTTGCTGGTTCTGCAGGGCTCGACATTCTCCCTAAAAGGCACCTCAGTGTTTCATTCCCTCCCCTTCTTCATCCTGGAGGGTTTTCTCAACTATTTCAAGACCACCACATAGCACAGAAACAAAACAGCCAATTCAACCACACTAACCACTGGTTTTGCTTTGTATTTTTTCCCCTGAAGGGTCACCCCAGTTCTTATATCCTCTCACCTCTGCTCTCATCCCCCAGTAGGATAAACAAACCTCCTCTGTCTCCTCCTTCCCATCCCTGCTCTCCCTGTGCAGTGTTGGCCCTGCTGCTGTTCAGTGAAGTTCAAAACTGAAGCAAGGGTTCCAAAGGGATTTTTTTCTTATGATCCATATTTCTAAAACTAAACTCTATAGCACATAAGAGTTTTTCTTTCCCAGTTTGAAGTAGAAAATCATAAAAGTGTATGAACATCAACTGCTAGTTGGTCTGAAGTTTGTTTTACTTGCTCTAATGTACACAGCCTCTGTTGCTATTCTGAATTATCCCTCTTCAGTATTTTTTCACTATTTAATGTCTTTTTTTACCATTAATTTTTGCTATATCCACCCAGATTAAACCATAGTAACTTAAAATCACTATGTCAATAGGACCTTTTGTGCCTTTACTCTTTTTTGAATCTCCATATGGCAATCTGGCTTCCAGGCACCCAATATACCTTTTTACAGCACCTAATAAGTGTACCTATGCCAACCCCTCAAGACTGTTGATAATTCTTATTTAAACTATTGAGTCTCAGTTGCAATTTGATCTGAACACAGTCCACCAGCACTGCATCATCAGAGTCAGAGGGACTGTTCAGTCCTCCTTGCTATAGGTTACCCTGCAAGTAAATCTGGTTTGCTTTGACTTTCTGCTCTTTTCTAAAGCTTTTTCCAAAATCATGTCTACTTTGCCTTATGCTGTAATCCCATTATTTTCTTTGTGCTGAATCATTTGTTTCCGAAGTTGTCTCCTTTCTGGGAATAGGCAACTTCAATTATTTTCCTCAGACAGACCTGCACTTTTTACAAGCTGAATCGTCTCAAATATTTTGGAGTGTTTTTAGTTTCTCTCTGTGGTTTGCTGTTTCTCTGAGCTCCAGACTCTGTGAACCATCACTCAGCTCCCCCAGCTAACGTCCCTGACATGTCTGTTATTCCACTTTAAAGAGGATTCATTGGATGACACCAGGGAGGATATAAATATCAGCATATCCCAGCACTGTTCTCAGAAAAGGTGCTGATGCCCTGCTTGTTTCTGAGACGTACTTCAAGCTGACTTTTTAGATCCTCCATGGATTTTGCCATTTGGGATGACCAATATAATGCACTGCTCACTTTATCATCCATGTTACCTGCAGGGTAACACTTGCAGGCACCTTCAAATCAGCAGTATCTGGGCTTAAAACCAGCCTGAATTTGAAAGGCACAAAGTGCTTGCAGCACCCATTCCAGTATCTAAAAATTAAGCCAGTTTTAGGGGCACTAATGCTGGATTACACGTTGTTACTGTGTACTCCCAGGGACAGGCAGGACCAGCTGGCAGTGCCCTTTGGCACTATTCTGTATCTTCCTGCTCAGGAAGGAAGCAGCACAGTCCCACCTGTCACCGCACAGTTTCCTTTCCCCCTCTGTCTGCTCTGTGTTTCAGCCATGCCATGCTGGAATGCTCCACTGCAGCATCCTGGCCCTTGTTGTCCTGGTGTTGTCCTGGTGTGGTCCAAGACCTCAGAAGCTGCAGTAGAAAACCATCCTTTGCCATATCTTATTCAGGCACTAGAGGGACATGCCTGTCCCAGCGTGGTCCAGTCAGTTTGTGCTGTGTTCCTGAGCTGTTCCTGAGGTCACTCCTGTAATGAATCATCTCAATTACTGTGGAATTGTACACATATTACTGAATTACTGGGGAATGGCTTTAAGCTTAAAAGGGTGCAGGTTTAGATTAGATATTAGGAAGGAATTCTTTACTATGAGGGTGATGGATCAAGTTGTTTAGAGATGTTGTGGATCCCTATCCCTGGAAGTTCAAGGCCAGGTTGGATGGGACTTTGAGTGACCTGATCTAGAGGAAGGTGTCCCTGCCCATGGCAAGGGGTTGGAGCTGGATGTTTTTTAAGGTCCTTTAGAACCCAATCCATTCTGTCATTTTATGATCTGGCCAAGCTCCTGAACTCCTCAGGTCTATGAAGGACTCACTGGACAAGGCCACAGCAACAAAGAGAAGTGATTCCAGGTTTCTCCCTGCCCGACCAGCTCCCAGCACCATCTCAGCTGCAGGAGCAATAGGTGCCAAGGATCCAAAGGCTCCAGACCCACAGCACCCAGGTATCGCTGCCACCCACAGCTTAGACATGGCCACAATACTTTGTCAAGGGCTGTCACAAGCCTGCACGTGTAGAAATTAGGAATCAGGCTCTGGCTTCCCACTCAAGGTCTCCCTTCTGTGTGTAAGTACAAAGGCTCCATAAAGCCTTTGCATTTAGACTTTATTCTCTAGGAGCACTCAACCAGTGGCATAAGTACATCATAAAATAGACAAAGAGCTGTAATATGTACCAATGGAGCTTAGCATTTCCTGAGGTTATTGAGGAAGGCAGTACCTGAAGATGTGCAGATAGATGGCTGACAGGGTCTTTTTTGCAGAACTTCCCTCCTTAGACCTCTCCTTGTTGCCTGTAAGAATTCCAACCCACATTTGCAGATCAACTATATCTAAGCCACTAAATAAAAACAGCCTGAATTTGAAAGTCATGATGTGTTTGCAGCACCTAATCAAATACCTAAATATTAGGCAGCTTTACCAAATGAATTTGTTTCCACACTTCTGAAAGGCTTACGGCTCCCAAACTGAATCACTGCCTTTACAACCTAGCACAGGCCCTCCAAAGTCATCTCAGTTTGGCTCCTGCTCCACCAGTCCTGTCATAACAGAGTCATAGAGCCAAAAGACCTCAAAGGTCATCAAGTCCAACTGCTAGTAGCAGTAGAAGTATGTGTAGAAGGGGTGTCAGCATAGAAAGGATTGCTGAATATGCTGTTTCTTCTCCAAAACACTGATAAATACTTCAAGCTGGGTGCAGCGTGATGTTTGTCAAGTACTGAATCAGAGAGAGGCTGCTAACTAACATTTTTTGAGTTCCCGAGTTTCCAGTCACCTTCTTTTTTCTGTAGGGGTTTATTATGGAAGAGCCTTGTTCTCTCAGACTTTTCAGTGTCCTTGGTCCCATCTCCAGATAAGTTTCTGCTTGACAAAACTCACTAAAACATAGCAGAAATTTGGTAAAAGGGGAGACACCAAGCAGAGAGCTGCATTTTTTGTGTTTTGCTTTTTCGTTACGCTTCTGTGATTTAGAATTACAAGTTAAGTACAAAGCTTCTGCAAAGCCATCCTGCCTTTCCTCCTACCTTTCCTGCAAGGGGCTGTCAGCTCTGCTGGGGCTGGACCTGCTTTCCCAGGCACTCCTGGCTTAGGCTCCCAGAGGAGCAGAGCTTGCTGCCTGGAGAGTTGGTGGGCAGCTTGCCTGCTGCAAATGCTTTTCTCTGCTGCTCTCCTTTGGTCCGAAGGAGCTGCAGAATTCTCCTACTCTTATGTAATGGTCTGCTGGTGTCTTTGGTGTCTTTGCTTGGAAAACCTCTTTTTCAGCTGGAGGGTGTCAGGAGCTGTGCCCTACCTCTCTTGGGTCACTGCTGAGAGAGCAGCTGGCCGAGGGAGATGTGCCAGGGTGTGGGCAGCAAAAGGAAAAGGAGCAGCTCCTCTCCCCTTCCTCCCCTTGTGTCCAGCATTTCCCGGGGTCGCCCTGTTCCTCACAGGAGCATGGGCCAGCTCCGTCTGGGGGACTCCGGGCAGCAAATGGGGGGAAAGGGGAAATTTAGGTTGGGAGTTCTGCCTGGAGCAGTGTGTACCGTGTGTCGCGTGTACCCCCGCCCCGAGAGCCACAGCGCGGATGGGGCAGAGCCGAGTGCGGAGGGGATGCGGGGGGACAGCGGGATGGGAGCGGAGCGCGGCTCGGGGGATGCGGGGGGACAGCGGGATGGGAGCGGAGCGCGGC